AAAAAAAAGGTACAACAGTGTACCTGTGGAACGTCAAAGGCTCAGCTTATGAGCTGAAGCTAAAACTATCTCCAGTTGAATACCAAGTTTAAAGACAAAGAGTAGTGGTTGCTTCAGCTAATGACCTTTTATTGGGTAATTGGAGTGATATTACGTAAATAATGCTGTCTGAAAATAAAGAATGGCGTAAAAAGGTCTTTTACTAACTCATCGGGATATAACGCGTAGATAACGAGGATTGAGACGAGAGCACCTTAGCTGAATACAAGCTCAAAAAAGATACAAAGAAATCAAGACACTGTTGCATTGATGGATACGACACTTGTCTTCAATGACAGAGAAGAGAAAGAGAGAAAGAGAGAAAGAGAGGAGAAGGAAGAAACAAGATGCGACTAAAAAAAGGGTGATATAAAAGTTAAATGAAATAATGGAAATTAAGGAAGCACAAATTATTTGGCTTTGAACAGCCGAGAGTTTCTGTTTCCTTTTACTTGTTTTTAACATCGCAATGACTAGAGCTAGAGGAAGAAGTGTTTCTCAGCAACCTGCAGACGATGAGGCATATACAAATAGAAGCTATATATTCCTGTTACTAACAGCTGAAATAGCTCACTGCGATCGACAAACAATTTGACTTTATAAATACAGAATTTAAATATAATGTTCATGATTTGGATGCTATGATTACCCTACTTCGTGCAAGGTAATTTAATATTTATTACTTGTCATGTTGCTCCTCAACAACACTTTATGTTAGACTTGCAGCAGAAGAGATGTACATTGGTGCATTGCTCAAAGCAAAAAAGGCAACTTCTATATATGAATCTGACAAAGCACCCAACTATGAATTTCAGTTTACCTTTTATCAAGCTGTAAAAGCATACGAGTCAAGCATATACAGCTTGGTTGAAAGTAGGCAAATTGTTAGAGACACCATCAAAAAGGAAATAGATAAATTAGTCCAACAGAGGGTAAATAAATAAAAAGAGGCAATATGCAAAGCAAAGACAAACAACGAACGATCTACAGGAACATGAAGAAGCCACAAGAAAAACATACAAAACAAAACTAGCCGAGGCCAATTCGAATTATACAAACTATCGTAACAGAGATATTGTCAAGGTAACTGGTAGACTATTCATTAATGGCAGAGGCTCAACTTTGAGAATAGCTTCAAAAATTATATACTCATAAATGCGAGGATTTGAAGAACGCTCAAACTACATATCAGGCACAGCAGTTACAAATACAACAACAACAACAATTTCACGCAAATGAAGAAAGCGGTGATGATTATAAGTTAAGTAGGAATTCATTAGAAGCGTCAAGGCTGTCCGGAGAATATAGTTCAATAAAAGATTTGGATGGGAATAGCGATCAACACAATAAGAAAGGAATGGCTGGATTATTTTCGCAGATGAGAACAATAGCTTCCAGCGGTGGTTCTTATCTATCATCTGTGGATCAAAACAAGCAAATTTCAAAGTTTGCCAAAATGAAGAAAGATATCGCAGAAGCTGATTCTGAATATCGTGATGGCATTCTAATACTTGAAGCACTAAGAAAAAAACAGAGAAAAGCAGTAGAAGAAACAAATTGGGTAACTACAAAATGCTGTATCAACAATCTCAGTTCCTTATATCTATGTGGTCATATAGCAAGTAAAAAACACTATAAAAAGAAAAACAGAAAGTATCAAGTCTTCGTTACTGGCTATCATCATGGCTGAAATGGAGTCGCTAAGAATTGAAACTGAGGTATGATTTTCATTACACATGAACCAAATATACTCAGTCATTATTCAGAAAAGTACTGCTTCCTACGCAGCTACAATGAGCATTGACAGCGCAAAAGACATTCAAACGTACACAATGCATTATCAGTCCCTAGGTTATGCGCTACCCGCCCCTATTCGATATGAAAACTATTATCTTGAGGGCAAATGCAGAGGTAAATACTCTCCACTTTTTTTTCAGGAATCTAAAATTGGATTTCAATATAGAGGTACTCTTTGGTGGGTCATTAGAATCTTATGCCATAGAACATAATAGACCAGTGCCAGTCATTGTAGAAAAATGTATTGAAGCAATCGAGACCATGGGTGGTTTACAGAAAGAAGGAATTTACAGAGTTTCTGGCAGACAAACAAATATTGAGCAGTTAAAGCATCAGTTTGAGCTTGATGAGGACAAGGTGGTACTGGATTCCAAATATGACGTGTTTACCATTGCTACAATCCTGAAAATGTATATTCGAGAGCTGAAGCGCCCTTTATTCGATTTTAATGTTCAATCAAGACTCACTTATAGTAGTAAGTAATGAATTGTTCATGCATACCTTAGCGTGAGCGGGAACACTAATTTATATTTTCAGAAAATATGCCCCAGGCACAGCGTTTTGGGCTGCTGGAAATGAAGCTCGCAAACTTATCTCTCGCACATAGAAGGACTTTACACTGCCTTATATGTCATTTGTCCAAGTAAGTCTTTTTGATCATATTTGATCTATTAATTAATACTTTTTATCAGCGTAAATTCAAATCATCATATCAACAAGATGAATATTCAAAATCTTTCCTTGATTTTTACGCCAGTAATTTTCCATGACTTTAATCAGGCTGATGAAACGACAGCAGGAGATTGGTCGCCAGAGGATCTCTTTGAAGACTTGATTCTGTATCATGAGGTCCTCTTCCCTGTCGCCGAAGAAAACGCTAGAAAATTAAATGAGCCCAAGCTACAGAAAGCACTAAAAGGAGAGAGTCCGTACAGTCAATTTTCTCAGAGTAACTTGCTTTATATTAGTAATCCCCCAACTGCTACGGTGCCAGTAACAACACCAAAGAACATGCTTCTCACTCAACCAATGCCGCCTCCAATATTGTCAAGTGACCCTTCTGGAAATAGATATCCCGAAAGTACCAACAATAACTACTGCCCACCAAAGTTGACAACCATAATTGGTACATCGCCTGCTGCCTACCAGCAGCGCTTAGCTTCACTTTCTTCAATTGATTCACAAACACAGCAGTCGCCGCAACAATTTGTACCAAACTATCCAAATCGACCGCAAATGGTAGACTTAAAGGATCGGCCAGTTATTCCCCGTATGCCATCGAATTTATCGCAGTCTCATGTATTTGAAGCAGACCATTCTTCTACAATGAACTTTACAGAAAAGAACAACAGTGCAATCCAAAGCCAAATGATTTCTGCTGACAGTGTAAAGCAAGGCTCAGGCGCTTTAGAGAAAGGAATCCTAACTAATGATCAACAGCAACAATATCAAAATGACCTTGTTAGCACGCCCAACCGATCATCGTCAGACGTGATCGTATTACAAAGAGGCTCATCTCTGTTAGGAAAGAATCCTCGAGACAATGTAATTACACATGTGCCACAAGTGCCAAGAGCTCAATCTAACCCTGATACGGGTATACCTGTGGTACAATGCAATAGTAGTGATCCTCTTTTACAGCAAACCCCGACTTTTATGCCGCCTAGACGTGATTCATTAAGCACTGTCAAAACCAAGGAGAAAATAGAGAAAGTTTCCTTGAGTAGCAGCCCTAATACAACAATGACTACAGCGTATTATCCACAATATCAGCCTGAACTTAACATGGAACAACTGCTTCCAACTGCTAACGAAGGTGCAGTCACCAAGCTTTCTCCTGCGCAGTCAGAACCTACGGATCAAAAGCAGCAAAACTAGTAATTAAAGTACCACCTGCAATTCTTTTTTAGTAAGATTGTTTTTACCATTGTATCAAATTTTCGGCTGTGTTGCCTTTATCGGAATAGGCGGATGATAAGTCCGGGATTAATTAGTTAGTCAAAGGCGTGGACTATTATGGCGATCATGAGTAAAAATAGAGTAGCTTATGTCATCAGCAAAGAGCTTTAAAGGTGATAGAGTTACTGAATCAAGTAAGAAGGGCTTTTTATAGATAATTACGCCAAAAAGTTATTACCCACACCAATGGAGAATACCAATTTGAGTGACAGCCTTTTTTCTTTTTCCTTAACAAGACTTGCTTTAAAGAAATATTTGATGCAATTCCGTCCATTCAAAGCTACATTTTGCTCTATAGGATGTTAAGGTATCATAACCAAGAAAGATCTTGCAGTTTTCTCGGCAAAGTGGCCCATCATCTTTCATTAAGATGCCTCCCAATTTTTACTTGCTGTTTAATTGTCATTGAACACGCTGAAGTGATTGAAGCAATGAAGATACCTTGTTATGTAAATCATATGCATAATCATGACTTTAGCAAAGAAGATTTGATGTTTTTCTGCTCAATCATTTTTTCCTTTCCCATGGCTTTTAATGGAATTTGTACCCTAATGAGGGTATAAACCATCCTGTTTATGTTCATAATAGTCCATATCTTCAGTTAACTAAAAAGTACCTATTCGTCATCAATCTGTTCCCGGCAAAGGCGATGGTTTGAAAATTAAAAAAAAAATTCTCCGAATTTGTACTCTGAACGTTGACTTACTTACAAACATTAGTCAAAAGAAGAAAGAATAAAATATTAATAAAAGAAAGTTGACAGGAAAACGTAGATGATACATTGATTGAAATCACAATCTGATAGTAGAGCATACATTCTACTTTACATTTCTCTATCTCATCTGGTAAGAATAATAATAACTATAGTAGCTACTAACATAGCATTGATAAATAATCACATTGACCACATTTATCATACTGACAACATTAATATTCCCTACAAACCCTTTACTCAAACCTAACTTAATAGTACTCAGGTCTTCTTTTTATAAAGGATCTAATTCGCAAGCTATCGACTTAATAACCTTTTTTCAACAGCAAAGCTAAATACAGAAGTAAGTATTGAATGATTGCTAGAAAAGTTACATATGATCTCATATTTTCCTTTTTTTTTGTTTTTTGTTTGTTTAGATTTGACAAGATAATGATAACGATGAAAGATTACAGACCAGATCTTTTAATTACGCTGAAGCTAAAGTTTGATACCAAAGTGGATTTCTTTGTTTGTAAGATAGAAAAAACCAGGTTGCTCATCAAATAAGCGTGAAGCCGACTTCGTCAAGGTCCAATGAGAGATGAAAGCAATTATTAACCAACAGATTGCTTTGGTTATTAACAACCCAGTCTGCTATGGTCTTCTAGTTGAAAGTAAGCACTCATTACAGCATGAATTCTGCCAAAAAACTCATTGTAAACTTTTAGGCTATGATTGTTATCTATACAAAATGCCTATGCAATACGAAGCTGACTATCGTTCTAATCTAATAGCCCAACTTCGTACTTTACGAGATGTCCTGGATATCATGCTCTTGCTGCCTGCCATCAATATACTATCATATCTTGATGTAATGATGTACATTTATTTTCACAAATTGATGAGTTGCTAGCAATTTATTAGGAAGAATTGACTTTGCAACAAATGACTCTAGGCCTTAGCCGATGACAACGAAATCACTCATAAAAGATATCATACAAAAGGTCATCTTTCAGAAAGCCTATTAGAAAAGAATAAATATTACTTCTCTCTTCCTGCCTTGTCGCCTCTAGTCATATGCCATGTTGCCGTTCACCACTTATCTCTCTTATGTGAATATTTTATTGCATTTTCTTTTTTTGGCAAAAAGCCAAGGCTGGTGCTCTTATACTTTCTCTAGCTTTAATAAAAACAGTAGCCTTCTTTATATTGTTTGATTATCATTTATAGATACAGTAAAAAAGACCAAGTAGTTTAATTTCATACAGTATATTAACTGCTGGATTCATAAAATATGATCGAAACCTCAGTATAAAAGTTGTCACCCACCATCCAAAAGCTAGAGAGAAGCAGGCAGTGTCAAGAAAAGAAGAGTTGTTGGTGCTAAAAGAAGAAGGACACCTGAAGATGCTGCTGCTGCTACACCAAAAGGAACTATGCAGCTGGTCATTACGTATGTGTAACTTATCAGTGATACGTTAGATATTATGAATAAATTCAATATGAAAGGATGTCACATTGTTATGGATAATATTCCGATCCACTCTCCCGAGACTGTTGACCCCATCATCTTGTAGAGGGCATGTATACCAGTGTATCTTTCGTCTTATTCGCTTGAACTCAATCCTATCAAGATGGTTTGAAAAATGTTGAACGATCAAGTCAGAGGGGGTAAATCGACAGATGCAGAAACACTTTCTTCAAGAGGAACTGAAGACAGCGAGGATGTTCCTATTAAATACATACCAAATTTCATCTAGCACTTGATCAATATACTCTCTAAATATTTGAGTAAAGAGCCTTTGTAACCGTCTTAATATTTGGTCAAATTATTTCTCAAAAGTGAGCAATTTATTTGATTAACTTAGTCTGATCTTTTTGGGCAATTTAACCTCAAAAAAGCGAGCGGAGTTTTCAAACAACCTGTAAATTAAGAGTGGAAGCACAGCGTTTCCTTTTTTCTCTTTTTTAATTTAGAACTATGGCAAAGTCCATTGTGCCCAGTGTAAAGAATAATGTTAAAAGAGACCCTCCAACAACAGTTCATCTAAAGGGTTGGCTATATAAACAAAAACATGGAAAATCAAAAGCATTTCATAAAAGATATTTCATTCTTTATGGTGAAGAGCTTAGATATTACAAGAACCAGGTACGCTCTTTTAGTAAGCAAACTAAATATGTATATTCATCCTTTTCGTCTAGAATGATACAACTGCTTTAGCAATCATTTCTCTTGATCATTATACCCTTATTCCTGAGCCACTGCTCCCAAAGCAAAAGCAACCTAAATCCCTTATCTTTTGTTTACAGTCAAACGATGAATCAAAGTATGATTGGCCTGATTATTTTTTACAAGCGGACTCTGAAGAAGAAAAGCAGATTTGGGTAGACTGTCTGCAAAAATTAGCCACTTGCTCATCCACAAGTGTGCTCGACAAGTGGTTACAAAGACTAGATATGCCAATAACTGCTTCCAAAATATACCAAGAATCAAATAACTCTGTGCCAACTTTATCACAAAAGACCAAAAATAGTAATAATGACGATGACGACGATTATGATGAAAAATCGAGTATTGCCTCAAGTAGTATTTTACTCACTCCTCCAAATCACTTCTACAGCAGATCATTTCTCAAAAGCTATAAATCCTGTGAATCACTACGTGCATTTAAACAGATGCAAGAAAGCCACAGCAAACGTCGGCCGTCTGATATTTCATGCACCAAAAGCGACAGCTCAAGCAAAAGGTTATTTCCATATAAACTGTTCAGCTGGTCTTCTCGATCAGCGAGGTCTTCTTCCTCTATTACTTCTATGCCATCCTATGACGAATATGACGATAATACATCTCTCCATGGACCCTCTTCTTCAATCATAACTACTACTACTACCATTACTACTATCCCTAATCATAATGACTCTCATACGCATACCCAAAAAGCATTAGAAACCCACATCATCCACCCAAGTGAATATAATCAAGACTCAGAAACCATTAAAGCAGATATACGTTATTAATAAAAAAAAGTAGTTTATTTTATTCAACATGTTGTTGTTGCACTGGTTTTAATCCCTTTGCATGCTGCGAATTGAAAAATGTATAGCTTAAGGTGATGGTATTCACATCTTTCATCAATGGATCTTCCAGAAAATCAGGGTCTATAAAAAAGAAGACAGGCATGTCTACCTCTTCTTCAGGACTCAGCTTTTGCTCTTCAAAGCAGAAACACTGAATCTTGTTGAAGTAAGAGCCTGCTCGGTACGGCGTAACATTATAAGTTGCTATTCCAATGATATCTTGCTTGGCTCTACTCTTCGCCTTGTAAAATGTCAGAGCTGTTTCGCCAGGTACAACATAGATCTCTCGAAGCTCTGGTTTAAATGACCAGGGTAATGTGTCTGACGTGTTCGATTCGAATGTCACTCGAATGCGTTTGCTCTTGGTTTGAGGAACAAGTCGATCAGGACCAAATCGTTCAGCATCAATCACCGGTGTACCGTTAAATCCCGTACTGGCACAAAAGAGTCTGTATAAAGGAACAGCTGCATACGACAGACCAAGCATGAAGATGAAGATGCTAGCTGTGTACATACCTGCTGATATGTTTTCCTGATTCCAACCTTTATTCTGAGGGTTTGTCATTAATGTTCGTTTTTGCATTGGTAATTGTTGTCGTCGCCAGAGCGTATTTCTGTAAATAGGTCTGAAGGCATGCTCTATAAGTCGTCTTTGGCATAAGTTAGATTTAAACATTATTTTCCAGATACAAAAAGGTACACAAATTGACTATGGTTCCTGGTATGAAAAGCTGTGACCCGCATAAACAGTACGAATTTTATAGACATCTGATTGGATCACCAACATAGGGCTTGAAGCTTATGTCACACTTGGCGTAAGCCACTGCTGGGGACCACTTACCGGAGCTTACTTTGTGTGGGAGACAAAGAAAATTTTTTTTGAATACAACAAATATAGCAAAATATGCTTTAACAATGTTTATATATAGGTTTAATAAAAAATGTCATACAAAAAATAGTCTTTATACTATTTAAGAGCTACCCTTGGGGGCTTCCTTAACAGACAAAGCGTGCTCTTCACCCATGGAAGAAACAACAGTAACAATCAAGTCTTTACCCTCTTCGAAATCACGTTCCATTTGTTCACCGAGTTCACCTTCGGGGAGCTTAACATCATCCTTGGTGGCACCATCTTGAGTCATCAAGCTAAGGAAACCGTCATCAATGTTGATGAGTTGGTATTCGTTACGGACAACATTGGGGACATCCATGTTGTGAGTAGAGGGAGAGATATCTTCCAACTTCCTATCGAAAAAAAAAAATGTCAATCTCAAGATACACTTTCGATGTATTCACGATATTTACTTTCCAGTGAAGATATCAATACCAACCAAGTGGACCTTAGCGTGACCGTGCTTACCAGTCTTGGAAGTAGACATATCAACAATCTTACAAGGTCTACCCTTAATAACAACATGTCCGTTCTTTCTCAAGGCAGAACATTGCATGGGGTAGGTCTTGGAGGCACCGGCATCAGCGCTTTCGAAGGTGTGATCGTCGTGCTGGTCAGACATGCTGTCATATGTGTTATTAATGGCTTTAACCAAATTTTTTCTTAATTTATACTTACGTTGATTATATAAATATAAAGGAAAGAAAAAAAAGAAGAAGAAGAGAAAAAGATGGGTTTTAAAACGCGTAGAAAAAAATAAGCCATCCCAAATTTTTTTCCTCTATTTTCATTGGCTCTTATCTAGCATCGGAGACTATATGAGGGTACTGATTCTAATTGGTAAAGTAAAAGATAGACTTGTCTTTATTTGATTTTTGCTTCATTCACTTTATTTACAAATATTGGACATTATAAAAGATAGCAAAATCATAGTATATATGTAAATGTCCTCTTATGCTTCAATGTACAATAGGAGCAGGAGCGGGAGAAATCAACAATTCTGATGTGGATCTGTGACCGCTCTTTTTTTTTGTTATAAAATAAGGAGAAAAAATTTTTCTATTGGACAATGTTTGTCTCTAAGCTCAGCCCCTCTCTCCTCTCTCCTACACAGAAATACACAAAAATCAAAAGTTTATTAAGAGATTATTACTACGATTACGGGTGATAATTATGTATATGTATAATGTATTATAGCTTTTTACAGATAGAAGAAGGAAACCAACCATATTGATGTGAGTCCATACTACCATACCACCACTGTTCATCATCTTTATCTGAAGTGATTAACCATACTTGTATTACATCTCCCTTTTGTACTTTAAGCTTTTCTTTGGTTTCATAATCAGTCAACACTGTACATCGAAACACGGGTTCATCAAAGAGTCCCTTTTGAGTATCGTGTATAGATGGGATGTATGGTATATCGTCTTTACTACTCTTTGTCTTGGCTTCGTGTAAAAAATCAACCCAGCTCATCACAGGCCCCTCATCATCGTGTTCTTCTTCATCATCGTTTAATAGAACAGAGAGTTTCCGTTGCACTTGGCTGATCTGTGCTGTATGTTCCGAATCGATTGATGCCCATTCCATATCAAACGCCGATCGTAGGAGAGGCCGCCAAGCAAATTGTCTTTGTCTCCAGTAGAATGCTTGAATGCCGACAAATTCATCAAGCACGATATCGAAATAATTTGAGGTCAATGACAAAAAAATGGGCAGTTCATCTAAGAGGTGAGCATTCAATGATACATAGGCCTCGGCTTCTGCTTGTAGTTGCTTGTCAGGCACCTCTCCCTTTGACAAGATATGGCAAGCTCGGTCATAATCGATCCATTTCCGGTTACGCTTTTGAATGACATGCATTGGATTCTTGAAGAGTTTCAAAAATGATTCAACCCTATTGCAAACGGAGATCTGAATCATTGTCTCCTAAAATGACTTTAGTTGGCGAATTCATTGAAAAAAAAAAAAAAAAAAAAAAAAAAAAGGATAGATACCGTTGAAGCTATATCATGTGCTATTTGAGATAACAGTTGCTCAATTAGAATGTTGTCTTGTTTATCAAAAGAAGACAATAATTCCTTTAGAGAAAGTTCACTTTCTTTGATCTTGGTGAGCCATTCAAGCGCTTGCTTCTCAAACTGTTTTATGCTTTCTTGTCGACTCTCGAACTGTCGATAGATATTGTCAAACAAGGCATCCTGTGTACCTGCAGCACTGTGCTGTTTCTTCAAATACACCTTTCGTGTCCACTTCTTGTTTAAACTATGACTAAAGGACAGAGAGTTGATTTACGTGTTTTTTATATAAAAACTGAAGACTTACACTACCTATTGAGTATTTAAAAGTAAATTAACACAGGTACATGCTTAAAATGTTTCGTCTTTACTTTCTTTTTGTGATCATTCACCAAAAGTTGTTCAACTATATCTTTTCGTTTCTTGATTTCATTGATGTGATCAGCTACTTGTTCCATTCTGCTTGTGACTATTACCAATTGGTCATAGTCAACATCATACTCTGGTGTGAGCTGAAGTATCTCCCTGAGGAGTAGAGGGTACTTGAGTACTCGCTGTACTGGTTTGATCAACAAGCTTGGTAGATCCCAGCATGTTGTGCGTCCCTGAATATCTTGCTGACATTTCTACTGATGTACATTAATAAAGAGTATTCCTTTTTTTTTTTTTTTTTTTACTTTGAGGTAAGCTTGAACAGTATCATTTGACTGACTGAGCTCTTGTATTTTACACAGTGCGTCTTCATGCCTTTTGCAGTACTCAGTATAGACACGTTCCATTGGACCCATCTAACAATGTGATTTTTGGTTATTGTTGACAACGCAACTCCTTAAACTCATTATAAATTACCATGTTTGTAAATATTTGGCAGAGTAGCCCCACGTTATTATCACCGTCTACAATTTGACAGAGTGATCTAGTAAACTCCTTTTCAAACACGATGATATCAGTCAAGTTGACAAACACTTGTTTTTTTTCTAATTTTGAAAGTGGTACTTGATCACAGTAGATCTCTTGAACCAACTCCATGTCTGACTGATAGCTCTTTTCTGTCTCTATCAACTCTCTGATCACTCGAGCACGTTTTTCGGGTGATGTAGGTTTTTTCTTGGAAGGTATAGGTGGAAGAGAAGGGGGCGTAGAGAACCATTGAGCCCAAGAGCTAGTAGACATGGTAGAACTCGTAGATGAAATGCTTGAGCCTGTGGTTGATCGTTTAATTAACGGTAAGGACGGAGAAGAGGATGAGCTAGGAACTGATCTGGTACGGTTCTTTTTGTTGGTGCCATAATCTTTATAAAGAGTATTACTTGATGACCACGATTGTTGATGGTTATTTTCAGTAGTTATCTTGTGCCTTTTAGGAAATGTATTATCCTAAGCAAATTTTTAAAATGACGTTGTAATTATGCAAAGATGAGTCTTACGATAATAGTGAATGTATCCTTGTGTAGCTTTGATTTTATTGCATGAAATGGAGTTTCAATCAGTGCCTTTTCTTCCATTGTAATTGTTGAAGAAGAAGTGAAAAAGGAAAGAAAAGAGTGTATAAAGGAGTGAAAAGAGTTGAACACATTATGCAAAGTACTTTTTTGGGGGTTAGCAAAAAAGAAAGGGACCTAATATAAGTGATAATAGTAAATGATTATAATAATATAACAGGAAAGCTGTAATATAATAAGAGTGAATATTAGTTAAAGGAGAGAAAAAATAGTCAGTTCAATTTGATGCTGATGATAATTCAGATGATAATGAAGAAGAAGATAATGATAATAATGAGTGATTTTGCTGTTGCTGTTGTTGAACTAGTCGTAATAATAAAAAGTTAGCCCTTCCTTAGGTCTAGCATTTTGCTTACGCCATATTCGATAAATTTACTTTCTCGTGGTTTCTTCAAGGTGCCAGTACCTCCTTGTTTGGTTACTAAATAAGGTACCCAAATAAGTAATTCGCTTTTAACATAATTTCTGATAGGCTGATCATTCTTTTCATTCATTATAATCTCGTATTGACCCTGTTTATTCTTCCTTAGCATACGGTTGTATTCAAGGGTGGCTATGATATCATTCACTGTAATACATGTCTCTTTACTGATTTCTACTATAGTCTTAATAAAAATATCTTTTTGTCTCTATCATGCTTACCTTCAATACTTGTCCTCGCTGGATGCTCTTTTAGAAACTTTTTAATTGAGTTGATCCAGTATTTTCTATAGCTCAATAATCCTAAATCTGATAACGGTTTTTCTGGTGACCCCGTCTTACCCTCTCTTTTTGATAACAGATAGCCTATAGGCCAGTTAGTCTTTTTCCTCGTGAACATATTTACATAAAATAATATACTTGCTAAAGTCGATCAGAAATTGTCCATAGCCGTTTCTTTGATAGGAAGGTAATGTCATAATGCATGATAAATTATAATTGAGCAGTGATTTCTTTTCTTTTGAAAAGTATCCAACAAACTGACATCCTGCTTGGTTAGCCTCCGTCAGTATATAGAACAAGAATGGTTCTACATCATAATAAAGTGTTTTATGGTCCAAAAACATCTTGGCCAGTAGACAAAGGTTCTGACAGTACATCTTGTTCTTCTTCCCATCTACTTCAAACACCGATAGCTGTCCATCTCTGTATATCTCATTTCCTGGTGGATATTTCATAGGACATTTCACCTATTACACATTGATTTATATCGCCATATAAAGCTACTATCATTGGCTTCTCACCTTGTGCCTCTTGGCTATATATCGACTCTTCATATACTTTAAGCAAAACTCGCATACATACAATGTCTCTAGTCGGCTATACTCTTCTGGATAAGGTGCTACGTACCAAACGTCCATCAAAAACTTTCCAATTTGAACTTTTTTTATATGTCCAATATCATGATGTTGCTTTGATAGAATGGGTAAAAATGATTTTGTGGGTAAACGGTCTTTCTTGTCTTCCATGGTTGACAGCTTCTTTCTTCCTCTTCTTTTAGAATGACTGTTACTGCTTGAATCGTGAATGGCGTTAGGGGAAGGTGACTCGTCTGAGTTTGATTCGTCCGATGAAATAGTGGCATTGTTGTTATTGCTGTCGTCTTTGTCCTGCTCTATAACTACCTCCAACACCTGTGGCTGTTCATGCTATAAAAGGGGCTTTTGTCTCAATAAAAAGGAATATATATTATCTTTTTACATTAACGCCTACTATTTTTGCACGCTCATAACGATGTATGCTCTGTGTTGTCGGAATTCCTCTTGTATGTTTGGCATCTTTGCTTCGATGAGCAGAATGAAGTGTTTCGATGCTTAAATATTTGGGATAGTCATCATGTGCTGACACACGTCTTTTTGCTGATTGCTTTGGCATATGAACTTTTTCTTTTTCTTTTATGTGAGTTGTTAAAAAAGATAGAAAGAGAATAAACAAAAAAAAAAGCCCGTAAAAAGAAATGTCTATCTCTATTTTTATTTCACAGCCATCAGAGAATATTTCTAAATACCCGAAAAAGGGTATCCGAGGTCCGCTCACCACACAGGGGGAAGTCCGACATCAACTTTCCAAATAGTGTTGAACTTTTGCATAGTTTGTTTAAAGCATCTTCTTTCTTTATGGCTTTTGAGAACAAAGGATGGTCGTCGTTTGAAATCGTCTTCTACAATCAATTTTTCATAATACTAATTGCTGCATTGATGTCTCGGCTTCTTGCAGCAAATGTATTTGCTTGAAGAAGCTTTTGATCTTTTGCCAAAAAAAAGGTTGTAAACAAATGACAAGTGATTGTATGAAAGGAAGTCGCGCTCTCTTCGCTCCTTTGCTGCTCTAATCCTCTGCAGTAATAAATTCTTCCTTACTGTGAACTGAGAGACGCTTAGGATTAGGTTTATTTCGTTTCGTTTTGCTTTCTTGGATATTATTTGATTAATGTTTAGTTTACTTTCTCCACTAGAATAACATAAGAACTGCCAGTACCGATCCCCTTTGCAAAATCCTAATAGTACTATCTCTGTAAACAATCTTCCACTGTAGTCCTACGATGTTAGAGATGGAATCGCGATGTGAACAGTGTGTTAAATATATATATCTTTATTTACAAATCAAAACACGACAATGAAAATCCTCTCTCCTTCAAAAGACCTTCACAAGACTAACGGTGCTCCCTGGATTAAATGCGCTGCCTATAGCGGCAATGTATTCCTTAATGCCTCGCTAAGTACAAAACAAATAATACATTACTCTTCTAGCTATAGCATACTCTTTCCTGCATCCTTTTCTCCCTTTTCTCCCTTTCTTGTATATACAGGAGTAGTTATAGTGCTTTGGATCTCATGATAACTAAAGACAGTAAGAAAAAAAGGCATTGTAAGCCTTGGTGTGACGAATAAACATGTCAAAAATGCCATTTAATAAGATATTATTTACGGATTAAAAAAGGTATAAAATATTACAGAAAAAGTGATATTTATAAAATTATTATTCTTACATATAAACAATAATGTTTACAAACGACGACCACGACGACCGCCCTTTCTACGAGTAGAGTCAGTAGGAATAGGGGTGACATCTTCAATACGGCCAATTCTCATGCCAGCACGGGCAAGAGCACGAAGAGCGGCTTGACCACCGGGACCAGGAGTTTTGGTACCAGTACCGCCAGTAGCTCTGAGCTTAATGTGAAGAGCATTGATACCAAGCTCCTTACACTTGGCAGCAACTTGTTGAGCGGCCAACATAGCGGCGTAAGGTGAGGATTCATCACGATCAGCCTTTACTTGCATACCACCTATAGACATAAACCATAAGTATACACACATAAAGGTACACAGGAGGGGGATGTGCATAGAGTGGGGCCTTCCTACAGGCCCACAACACATGCCGCTCGACTTGCTTCAGGAAGCAAGTGGCGTATCCTTTTTATATTCTATGATTATATCAACTTACCAGTAATACGAGAAATGGTTTCACGACCAGAAAGATCAGTAACGTGAACAAAGGTATCGTTGAAGGAGGCAAAGATGTGAGCAACACCAAAGACGAGTTCACCTTCACGAACTTGAGGGCCGAGAGTGACCTTTTCAACAACCTTGGGGGCGGCCTTCTTAGACTATGATGATTCAACATGAATAAGTATGCTGTTTGAAATGGATGGTGTACTCTCTATTTACCATAATAATAAAAGATGGATGAAAGAGAAAGAGTCTTTGTTGGATGGATGGGAATTCAAATAGGCATCTCCAAGTGTGTCTCAAAGTGAAGGTTTCGTTCCGGCCCGGACACAATTTGCGGCATAATTCAAAAGATGCTCGTGAAACAAAGCGCAAGCGTGTTTTACAGTTCATATGATATCTCTCAGAATATTGGGCTACTTCTTGCTTCTCAATGCCAACTACATAGTTGTCAATTAAATAGTAATTACCAACCATAATTAAAATAGCCTTTCCATGAACTCTTATTGTAATGTTGCCCAAAACTACATTTGCCTTAGTTAGTTGTAGTTTAAACAAGTCTTTGGAGTTTTTGTGTGGTGTAGGACACTTGAATGAAAAGAAAAGGAAAGCGAGTTTACTTTTGTGGCCTATAAAGAAAATAATTCAAATATAATGCCGACAAACGCATAAATTAATGTAATGTATATATACTTCATTCTTCTTCCATCAGGCACTCTAAATTTGTAACAGGGCTTTACTCTATTTAGACATGTTTATGCCCGCTATTTCATAAAATATTCCCATAAAATGTTCTTTTATCTTTCCCAAGGAAAGGACACAAAAAAGAAGAAAGAAAGCAAAATATATATATAGATTTTTCAAAGAAAAGGTATCTTGTTATTTATTTAATAACTTGGAGTTTTGAGGCTCTTGCGCTTCTCGTAAAACTCGGGATACGTGTTGATAAACTAACAGTAGGAAAGGGTCAGTATTTAAATTTCTTACGTTTTTTATTTTCTCTATACCTTGATATGCTGATGCTGCTGAACGTGCTGCCAAGGATATGGGTTATTCTTTTTGTCAATTTGAATTTCAGGATGAGTCCTGAGCAAGTATACTAACATTTAAAGTGTGTTAGAGAAAGCGAGGTTTGAAAGTAATTTACATTACGTGGATATGTAACAGCAGCAGCACAACCACCACCGGCAAATAAGAAAAGAGGAGCCAGAGCAGGATTTGCACGAACGAATGCGCCAAAAGCCATGATCAAAATTTATAAGAAAGAAAGAAAGAAAGGGGAAAGCAATGGGCGTCAATTTATAGTTTTCACATACACTAATGTTGTTTGTTTACAACTTTTTTAAACTTACTTTCACACCCTTTTTTCCCTCTTTTTTTTTCCCTTTTTCCCAATGTTGTACGCATGATGCATACGTATACAAATGTATATATTTATACATGGCGTCACACTCATCGTTATTGAATAGACACGTAGACTCGACTATGCTTGAACAGCAAATAAGAATTCAGCGCTTTTCTTTTACTCAAGATTATTGGCTGGATAAATATCATGAATTAAGGGGTAATTAAAGTAACCTGAATACATGTATAGGTTACATATCTCTTTCTCTTTTTCTTTAAGTCAATCTCTGCCATCAATGGCTCATAGAAGAAATAAAACAATGGCAAAGACTAAGAGATTTGATGAAATCCTTCTAACACTCTTGGTCTTTCTTTCCCCCCTCTTTTCCCTATTGTGTCACTGTGTTTATAAAGTGACGTTTAAATCTTTTTTTTTTTTTGGTTGTTGTTGTTCCTTTGTTTTTAATGAATGACAGAAGAAGAGGAAGAACAGGTTAAGCAGCAACTGGTTCCAAGGATTATCAGTAACAACATTCATGAAAAGACCAGCAGTCGAATGTCATCACCAGATAGTTCACCTTCTCCTCCATCTTCACCAAGAATAAGATCTATTCCACTGCCTAGACTGTATCGACTTGAGGGGAACAGTAAAGTGTACATACTCTTGCTTACTCTTTTCTCAATCATGTCTATTGGAATCATTTTGGATTCTTTTCTACATCATCAACGAGATGTTTCGGGATGTCGACAAAGTTATATGCGCCCACAATATATCAAACAGACCGAGTTTGATAGTGAAATGACTCGATTTGCTGGGAAATATAGCTTATATCTTTATCGGGAGAAAGGCGTTGATTTAACAGATCAAGTAAGAGTTGTTTCCGAGAGAGAGAGAGAGAGAGAGAAATGGTATTAATCCATGTTTTAAGCCAACAGGTGTGCCTGTCCTATTTATTCCTGGTCATGCAGGTAGTTTTAGACAAGTGCGTTCGTTAGCAGCAGAGGCAGCCTATTACTATTATACACATTATGAAAAGGATACAATCAAATGGCAGCAGGGAGTAAGAAACTTGGACTTCTTTACTGGTAAAAAAAAGGAAAAGAAAAAAAATAATAATTCTGTTTTGTATTCATCTGTTTTGCCCTCAGTTGATTTTAATGAAGAATTCTCCGCACTTCATGGTCAATCTATACTAGAGCAAGCAGAGTATCTGAATGATGCTATCAGCTATATCCTCAAGTTATATACACAAGCACGTAAAACATACGCATCCTCTTCCTTACCTGATCCTACCTCTGTTATTATCCTTGGCCATTCTATGGGTGGTGTCGTGGCTCGTACCATGTTTACCATGTATAACTACCAACATGGGACAATCAACACTGTCATTACTATGTCTACACCGCATATGCTACCACCGGCTCCTTTTGACTGGAAGATTTCACAGCTGTATGATGACATCCATCGTTTTTGGCAGGAGAAAATATCAAGTGTATTAAAAGACGTGGCCATTGTGTCCATTGCTGGTGGTACCCTCGACAATACCGTCTGTTCAGACTCGACCAATATTGAATCCATAATACCTGCCACACACGGCTTCACTGTGTTCTCAACAGCAGTACCAAATGCTTGGACAGCGGCAGACCACGTATCCATCTTGACCTGTAATCAACTTGTCAAGGTTATCTCAAAGGCGCTTTTGGATATAACTGACATCAGACGAGCACCACAGACCAAACCACTAGAAGACCGTATGCGTACTCTAAGACAAGCTTTTCTTGGAAGTCCAGAAGACAGAGTGGGCGATCTTCCACTAGGTTTGTTGATTCTGTGGCTTTTTTTTCTTTAAACCATGCTTTGACACTTTTTACTTTTTTAGGTAATCACAGCATCTTTCATTCAGCAGAAACCGATGTTTTGTCTCTATCTCCTGGTGATAGGATTACGATTGAACATGAACGTATAGCCGATATTGTTTTGTTACCTACAGTATCGAACGCAGATGCATTTGCTATTCTTACCGATGATCCCACACCAGGAAGATTTGAAATCCTGTTGTGTTCAGCTTTAAGAAGCGATGGATACATCATCTGTCGTGATATCAATGCTATTGCTATACCTGTTCCTGCATCAACCGAAAAAGATGCACACCCTTTTTCTGGGCGCACATTCTCATTTGCTAGCATCAATTTTAGCGACATGAAAAGTTTTAGTCACTTGGGTATATTGGACAAAGGCACGACAGAAGTAAAGAGTAACTTTTTGATTGTCGAGCCATTGAATACACGAATGAATAGCCAAGTGATACACCAGTCAATGCTTTGTAAGTTGAATTCTATTTTATAGTAAATCATTAACACACCAGATGATAGCCATCGCATTAGGAGGAGTTCACGTCAAGACGGGCAGTAGCCTGTTGACGTCGATCCGTATACCCTTAATTGAAAGCCCAATATTGGCCTATCATCTCAAAGTATCACGACCCAACTGCCAATCATCTCATTTCGCTCCTTTCCTTCGTCAGTCGATTTCAACCATGCACGAATCCAAGTTTTATGTGAATCTAGCAGGCGATAATCGAGACGCGGCAGAAGTTGCTATTCATGGCCGTACAGCTTTTGCTTCCATCATGAACAGACCCAAAAGCGTAGATCAAGATGGACTGTCATTTCAAATTTGGATGGATCCAACCTGTGCCGAGCCATTACAGCTGGACTTGAGCATTGACTGGTACGGCAGTGCAGGCCGTCTGGGTTTTCGAAATGGTATCATGCTCGCTACATTCTCATTTATTGTCGTCATGCTTGTCTTTGCTTCACAGATCCAATGCTATAATAACACCGGCATCTATCCAAGCTTTGGCCAGGGGCTTTCCTTTTGTCTTCAACGGCCACTACCCATGGTCATGTTTTGTGTGACGATCTGTAGTATAGCTCAGTGCAGCTCAACTGCCTTATTACCATCTCACTTGGACACGATGTGGCCTTTTGATCGGATATCCTGGCAGGACATTCTCACGGGTAATACAGATCCTTTCTTTTGGTGGATACCGCTCATTGGTCTGGTTGTTAGTGTCGGCGTCGTCAACTTACTCTGGCTAATGGCTGAGCATTTACTCAAGCTTGTGGCAAACCTGTCTATTTGTTGCTCTATCCATAATCTATGGCCTCATGCCCGCTCGCAAGAGACTAGATATCAGCAAATTCAACGAAGGGTGGCGACAACGGTGGTTCTGTTTATGTTGGTAGCGACGTGTATACCCTATCAGTTTGTTTTTGTGGTTGCTTTTCTTGTTCATATTGTTGGATGTGTTCGATCCTTGATACAGTGCAAGGTATAAAAAAAAAAAAAATGGATCATCTTTACATGTATTAATTATGCCGTCATTTAGATGCATATGGGAGATATAAGAAAAGCAAATCGATATCATTTCATGTTCTCTCTGTTGCTCCTCTTGTTTACTCTATTGCCCTTTAATCTACCTATTCTCCTCGTCTGGATCCGTAATATTTCTGTTCATTGGTTTGTACCATTCTCATCAGATCATAGTATTTTGGCCATTGCACCCATCATGATCTACACTGAACTTCTTACAAGCCATCGAAAGATGTTGCCTCGTCAAAACAATAGGTAAATATATATGTATAGAGATATAAAAGCTAAACCATTTCGTAGATTCTGGAGTGTTATTACTTATTTATTCATGTATTATGTTGTGATATATGCCTTTTTATTTGGTATCAAGTATACCCATTGGATCTATTTTTTAGCAAACCATCTCATTGCATGGTTCTTGATTATTCATTTCAGAGACTCACATCACGGTCGATTAGTCTATCATTACTTGATGAATCATGTCCGAAGCAAGAAACAATCATAGATATTTTGTACACTTTAATTCACACCCATCATTTATACATATTTATATTTAATTAAACCCTCTCTTTTTTTTTTTTTTCTAATGATCTCAAACTACTATTATCCATGGCGTATAAATGTATATATTTGGTAATTGGATCAACATAGAATGCAAAAACATGAAAAGTCAAGATAGCTTTTCAATTTATTTAGTTCTTCTTTTGAGCACGAACACCCTTAGCTTCACGAGCCTTGGGGGTCTTCTTGGGTTGTTGAGAAGAAATGATGGCAGAAGCACGAGCAAGGGCGGCCTATGAGCAATGTTAGACAAACTCCATTTTCATTCCCTTTAAATAAAAACTTACAGCACGAAGGTCAGGTCTGTACTTGTTAGCACGAGCAATCAAGTTGGCAACAGACTTGGCGGTTTGGCGACGAGTCTTGGCAATGACAACGGTGTTGGTAGACTTGGCTGGTAATTGTTCCTTCTTGGCCTTGTGCAAAGTGACGCGGACACCACGAGCAGCAGGTTGGATGGTGACGTTCTGTTAAAAGTTTAAAAATGTGTTTATGTATATGTATATATTGTATACCTTGTAGTTGGCAATACCAGAGTACTTGAAGGAGTTGAGGTTAGTCAAGTTACCGGGTTCAGAAGAGAATTGAGCGTTGTCACGCTTGACGAGGAAAGAGTTGTTGTTCTTGACGATAGCCCAAACCAATTCGGCACTCATTTTCTATAAATAATGAGCAAGATGTTTTTATTGATTTCAACATGCACTTACAAAGAAATATTCGTTGAAAGAGGAAGAAAAAAAAAAAAAAAGTTACTTCTGTTCCCGTATAACTTTGCTGCAAAAAATTTTTTGTGGGCAATAAGTCGGTGGCTTGGCCCAAGCTTGTCTGTTTCTCCTTTCACACACAGCTCATCCTTTTTATGTGACATTTAATAATTATAAATTGATATTTTAATCTAATGTAAGCTTTACTACACGCATTAAAAGAACAGATTTTTTTTTTTTCTTTCAAAACAAAAAAAGAATAAATAAATATTTTTATACTATCTCAAAAAAGTGATCTAAGCCAAACCAGCATCTTGCATGGCCTTGAGCAAAGTAGTACCCAACTTGGCAGGAGAGGGAGTAACATGAACACCAGCATTTTCCAAAGCCTTGATCTTGTCTTGAGCACCACCCTTACCACCAGAAATAATGGCACCAGCGTGACCTGTACAAATGTAATCATATTAGTAAAATACATATATGTATATGGAATGTATATACATACCCATACGACGACCAGGAGGAGCGGTCAAACCAGCAATGAAGGAAACAACAGGCTTAGGAGTATCTCTGGACAAGTTGTATTGTTTCAAGAAATCGGCAGCTTCTTCTTCGGCAGTACCACCAATTTCACCAATCATGATGATACCTATACATATATGCTATGAGCACCACACTTCTCTTTCATACTGTCTACTAGTTTACCTTCAGTTTCCTTATCTTCCAAGAACACCTTAAGACAGTCAATGAAGTTGGTTCCGTTTAAAGGATCACCACCGATACCAACACACAAGGTTTGACCGAGGCCAACATCAGTGGTCTGTTGGACAGCTTCATAAGTCAAAGTACCTGAACGAGATACAATACCGATCTTGCCACGCTTCAAGATACTGCCGGGCATGATACCAATCTTACATTGTTCAGCAGAGATCATACCAGGACAGTTGGGACCAACCAAACGGGTCTTGCTTTGAGTCATCAAGGCTTGCTTGACACGAACCATGTCGTGTTGAGGAATACCTTCGGTAATGGCAACAACAAGAGGAATTTCAGCTTCAACAGCTTCCAAGATGGCTTGAGCAGCGCCAGGAGGAGGAACATAGATAACACTGGCATCAGCCTTGGTAGCTTCAGCAGCCTAATTTATATATAAGTCACGCAAAGCACACTATATGTAAAGAGAGTCTAAAACTTACTTCACGAACAGTACCAAAGACAGGGAGACCAAGATGAGTTTGACCTGCCTTTTTGGGAGAGACACCACCGACCATGTTGGTACCATATTCAATAGCTTGTTGAGAGTGGAAAGTACCCTATGGTGTTATCAATACCTCCACATCCTTCTTTTTATCATCCCGCGCGCGCCTTCTATATATAATTTTTTTTCGCACGCTTTCAATCTTACCTGTTTACCAGTGAAACCTTGACAGATAACCTTTGTTTCAGCATTGATCATCAAGTTCTTGTAGGTAGACTCGTAACCACCGTTGTTGGTATAGGCACGACGAGCAACTATATAAAAATATGAGTTTTAAACAAAAACCAGTCAATGACGACGATTACCTTGAGCAGTTGAACGTAAGAATTTGGTAGCAGTAGAAGAGAACATCTTGATGAGCAAAAGCTTCAGGAGGAGAAAAAAGATTTTTATTAAAATTTTTTACCTAGTCTTGTTGTTGACTAAGGGAAAATTGGAGGTGCGAGTGACCGTTCATTACTTCGGGAGAATCCGGGCTAGATTTTTTTCTCCCATTGAACTTGTTGCAAAAAAAAAAAAAAAAAAAAAAAAAAAAAAAGGGTGAAAAGAATAAACGATGATCTTTATTAAAACAAGAATAAAGAGAAGGAAAGATCATAAAAATGTATTCATTTAATGAAAAAGAGCAGTAAAGCGAGAAAGAACAGTATGATGTCATACACTGTTGGACGCGTAAATACCAAAAAAGGGTTACCCCTCCTTTTTTTTTGCATTTATCTTTTTCTTTTGGATTACACACAATTTTGGAGGAATTATCTGATATAAAGAATTTACCTCAGTCTTCACCTATTATTGAGAGTGAAAGAAGCCTCTGTATGGATAAATTTGTTGATCCACCAAGAACTTTATATGATGAAATAGGTGAACAGGAACATGATGCTTTTGTTACTATCAAGGTCAGTAGAGAGAAATATAAAGACTGTAACATAAAAGGCTTATGGATTGACTCTAGTCAGCTGAAGAGAATGTAATATAGACTGATTGGAAAAAGATTGTATAATAATGTTTGAATACAGATAGAACGAGATTGGCAAAGGATGGTAGATCAACTTCAACACGAAAATGCAAGTTTGATACATTCGCTTCATGAGGCTATGGAGGATATTATCAAATTTAAACGCGAAAAGGACGATTTGATAAGAATGATGAAGGAACAAAAAGAGATGCATGATACAGCCCAAAGACATTTGATCGAAAGAATAAATCAGCTCGAGGTAAGTTGAAGAAAAGATTGGGAAAATGTTACTAAATCAACAATACGCGTGTAAAAAAGAAGCCCAAGGAGGTAAAAGAAATAAAACGTGTAATATGCATCTTTTTAAAAAATTGAATAGATTAATGATCGAGAATTGGATCTAAGTAATAATAATAATAATAATAATAATAATAATAACAAAACAAGATTAAAAGTTGACATATTATTATAGTATTTCAAAAGAATTACTTGATGATGGAAAATAGACAATTAAAAGAAAGGTAAAATATAAAAAATAAATCGTGCTCATATTGAATTTTTGTAGTGAGTCAAGATTACTGGATTATCTTGACGTCCAACGGCCTCTTTTGACACAAGTAAGCAAGTGGAGATCAATTGTGTATGCCATCATGGCAGTAAATCGATTTACAAAAAGTAATAAAAAATGACTAGTTTTTCTTTAAAGTGAATAAATTGTCTTTATTCAGTAAAAAATGAAGAAACATGATTATTTGAAGAAGATGGCACGTTTTTCTTTTTTAATGCGGTCTCTGTTGTTGCTGTTGCTGTTGTTGTCGCATCCACAGCATCTTCTATCATATCACATGAATCTGTAGATCCAATCGAACTTGATCTTCTCCTTAAATGAGATAGTCCAGGAAGTGAGGAAGGGTAGATAAAGTCATGTGCTATATAACAACCATAAATAAACAAACATTGAAATTAGTCTTGATATATTACCACTGCTACTAGAGCTACTGCTGGCCATATTACTATTGTTGTTATTACTATTACTAGTAACATTATTGCCATTGTTGTTGTTACTGGTACTATGACTAGTAATAGTAGTAGTAGCACTAGTATTACTACTAGTACTATTATTGTTGTTAATGTTGCCACTGGTTATGCCTGAGCTATCATTGCTACTACTATGACTACCACTACTGTTACTGCTACTACCACCACCACTACCACCACCACTACTGCTACTGTTATTATTGCCAACATTAGTATTGTTTGTGTTTGTGCTATTGGATGAAGTAATGGAAGGAGGAGGGGATGAGGTGACGGATCGTAAATGAAGGTGAGGATTATTGGTGCTACTGCTACCAACGTTTGCTTCTTGTAACCCTTCCACGTGATCCAGGTCAGGAGTTGATAATCTGAGTCGTTTGATATCGTTCACATCATTGCTCGATGTTCGCCTATGATGCCTTCTGTTTCCATCATCTATCTCTGTTTCTCCTTCACCTGGCTTTTCTTCTTCTTCTTCAGTCTGTTTCTTTCTATGATAAAGCTTGGCTCCTAATGTCTCTCTTTCCCTTCGAGCTGCCTCTTGAAGCATGACACATTTTACTTTATAGTCAATATTGGCCGGGCTTTGCAAGTACATGAAGAATTCAGATAGTTTAGAAAAATCCCAATCCTTGGTGAATGCTCTTAGGAAGCGTTCTCGTTGAAGATGAGTGGCTGATGCATAAGGTGCAGATGATAAAACCATGGTGATAAGTGTTGTCGTATACTGAGTAGCCCAACTATTTGTCAAGTGACGTAAAAGATGAGCTCGCCGTAGGTCACCTAAAAAGATGTATAAAATAATAATAATACAAAAAAATAATAATAGTAAATAAAAATGTTTACATGTATAAATTATAGATACACATTACCTACTTCATCGCACCAATCCACTGTGACATATCTGACGAGAGTACTGATGCTTTCTAATCTCCAATCGCTAATAAGCCATTTTAATGCATTGATAATGCGAACGAGGGGATACTCGTTGGCAATACGATGCAGATACATTGCTGTAACGAGAACATTCTCTTCTGACTTGAGCCAAGAATAGAAGGATGCGTCATAAAGTTGATCCATACATTTGATATTACGATAAACATCCTTCCAGTTATCGTCTGTATCTTTTAATACACATGGTTTATGATAATAATTTACGGGTGTTGTGGCTACTAGTATAAATGATTGATATTGTGTTTGTTGTTGTCAATATATACACATTTTGCTTACATGAATGTTTTGATTTTGAACCTGCCCATTCGGCAACAGTTAATCCATGAAGTGAAGTGCGAGATGGTAAATGAAAGTCTAATTCATTGGTTGAATCGGAAGAAGAAGTGGGTATATAATGTAAAAAGGAAGTAGTGGATAATAGAGGTATATCTGTATTATTGTTGTTATTTGGCATCAGTCTCTCTGTTTCTTTCTTTCTTTCTTTCTTTTTACATAAAAAATTTAAAAAAAAAAAGAAGAAATAAATTCAAGCTTATTTTTTTTTCTATTGTTTTCTCTCTCTCTTTTTTCTCTGTTTAATTATTATTATTATTATTATTACCATCAATGGTGAAAAAGGAGGTTTAAATGTGTTACATAGATATACATACGATTATCCCTAGGGAAGAATATGTATCAATATGTATATAAATATAAATATATACATTCATATATTTCTTTGTCTTTTTATTATAACTTATATAAATGAAAACATGTATTCAAGATAAGGCCTGGTTAAAGACAAGGAAAGTAAATAAATCTCTGTAAATGAAGCCCCCCAATATCGCCTTTTTTTATTTTTGCCTACTCTATAAAAATCTATTATATATATTTGTGTATATATAACATGATTTATAACATAATCTGAAAGGCAAAAGAACAATAATAAGGAGAGAAAGAGGAGGAGGATGATATATATGATGATTTTCTTCGCAGCAAAGAAAAAAAAAAAACTATTCGGTCATTGAATTCAAACTCGTATTTTTTGCTTGTTCTCTTTGCTATTTATTTTTCTTTTCTTTTTTTTAATAATAAACAATGGATTCAACAAGTGATCTTCGTCGTGGAGCATATAAAGAACGTAGTCGTTTTAAGCCTGAAGAAGTGAGACGTAGGCGTGAAAATGCTCAGGTAGAGATTAGAAAGCAAAAGAAGGAAGAAAATTTAGCCAAAAGAAGAAATTTCAACATGCAAGAATTGAGTGCTGATTCTGACGACGAATTGGACTCGAGTGTTCATGATGCTCAAGTAAGGGATCTTGTATAATCTTGTTCATTATTTATCTTTCTTTTTTTTTTTAAAAAAAAAAAAGGCTATCGCTCAAATCCCTTTCATGGCTCAAAGCATTTATACAGAAGACGGTGGATTACAGCTTCAAGCAACAACACAGTTTAGAAAACTCTTGTCAAAAGAAAAAAATCCTCCTATCAGAGAAGTTATTGCTGCTGGTGTTGTTCCTCGTTTTGTTGAGTTCCTTCGTTCTCCTGACAGTCAACTTCAAGTAAGTCTTGTTTTTTTGACGCGTTTATATACATGTCTAACTTGTTTATAGTTTGAAGCCGCTTGGGCCTTGACCAATATCGCTTCTGGATCAGCTGAACAAACCGAAGTTGTAGTGAAATCAGGTGCTGTGCCTTTATTCATTGAATTGCTGAGTAGTCCAGTCACTGATGTGAAGGAGCAGGTAATTTTAAAGGAAAAAAGAGAAAAAAGAAAGATAGCTGATGATGTTTTCCTATAGGCTGTGTGGGCACTTGGTAATATTGCAGGTGATAGCCCACGTTGTCGTGATTTTGTATTGCAAAATGGAGCACTACCACCTTTATTGGCCATTTTTGAAGAAAGTTCCAAGTTATCCATGATCCGTAACTCCACTTGGACTCTTTCTAACTTTTGTCGAGGCAAGAACCCACAACCAGATTGGACACTGGTAAGCCACAAATCCATTTTATATACCTATGCTCATTTCGTCTTTAGATTGCGCCCGCTTTGCCTGTCTTGGCTCGATTGCTCAACTCAACAGATGAAGAAATACTGATCGATACTTGTTGGGCCATCTCTTATTTGTCAGATGGATCGAATGAACGCATTCAGGCCGTGATTGATTCAGGTGTAACCAACCGACTGGTCGAACTCTTGGGTCATCCCTCTACCTCTGTTCAAACACCCGCTCTTCGTTCTGTTGGCAACATCGTCACAGGTGATGACACTCAGACTCAACTTGTCGTCAACTGTGGTGCCCTGGGTGCTTTACTTCAATTGTTGGCTAGTCCTAAAGATGCAATTCGTAAGGAAGCTTGCTGGACGATCAGTAATATTACTGCTGGTAATACAGCTCAGATTCAAGCAATCATTGATAATGGTCTGATCGAACCTTTGGTCTATATCTTGGCCAACGGAGATCCCAAGACGAAAAAGGAAGCTTGTTGGGCTATTTGCAATGCCACATCAGGAGGATTAAGCAAACCTGAACAAATCAAATACTTGGTGAATGCGGGATGTATTAAACCCCTGTGTGATATCTTGACGTCCATGGACAATAAGATCATTTTGGTAGCATTGGATGGTTTAGACAATATCTTACGAGTGGGAGAAATGGAAAAGTCAAATACGCCAGATGGATTTAATCCATATGCATTGTTGATTGAAGAATGCGGTGGACTTGAATATATTCATGCATTACAAAACCATGACAACGTAGAAATCTATAAGAAATCATATCAATTAATTGAGAAATACTTTACAGATGGTGACGAAGAAGGAGCTGATGCAATGATGGCGCCTGATACTCAAAATGGTCAGTTTATGTTCCACAACGAAACCAATGCGGGTGGATTCAATTTTTAATTATTTTTTTTTTTTCGATGTGCCTCTTTTTTTTTTTTTTTCGTTTCCCTTTTCTCTCTCTCTCTCTTCCTCTCTTTCCCCTCCTTTTTTTTCTTTTTATAAATATATACACAATAAATATTCTCTTTTTTTTCTTTTAAAATGTCCTTATTACTAACAAAAACTTGTGAATATGCTCTACTGGTAACAATACAACAAGGTAATAACAATAATTAATAAATCATGTACATCAGGAACCCTAATTTTGAAACAAAAAGGTCGTCACTTTAATTCAAATGACCAGTCGATTCAAGTGGAAACAGAACTTGATTTGAAATTACCTTCTTCCATTAACGACTTGATACCACAGAATACAAAGATATCTACACCTTCAGCCAATATTGAAACAGACGGCACATGTACATTCAACGTCTCACTTGTCTATTTTATATCAACCAAACAACTCATTCGTTTACGTAAAGATAAAGCAACTACCAGAATATATATAAAGAATGACCACAGTCTGCTGAATTCATTCAGTTTGCCTATTTCAGAAGCAAGAGAAGTCGTACCTCAATCAGCACACAAGTTGGAGCATATTTACAAGTTTGTGGCCGATAAAGGAGTTTGGTGTTCAATGCCAGAGAGTCAACAAGAACTCAAGATTGGATTGTTCTATGTGGCAATGCCAGATACGACCAAAGACATACCGACAGTAACAACTCCCTGCATCGAACTACGATCGCCACCTCCTACACCCAATCTGACTAGTGCAACTGTGATATCGACTTATTCTAATAATAGCAGCAGCAGTAACAATAGCACACTGACCACATCCACAGCGAATAACAGCAATAATAATAACAGTAGACGAAAGAAAGTGTCTTCTGTTATCCTAGGATCTTCATCAGTCAAACCCAAAAAAAGGCCAGAAGACACGAAACGGGCGAAACCGAAACCGACATTGAGGCGAACGAAATCATCTTTATTAGACTTGAACATTGAAGAACTATCAGACATGTTACGAAATGTACATATATTCACAGACGACACAAAGACGCCTTCTTCTATGATAGAACCAGCTCAGCTCCAGGCCTACCATCAGATCGGCAAGGGCACGTTAAAATACACTTTGGTCTTTAAGGTACTTCATGTGGACAACATCAGTCATACCATCCTACGAACCAACACGTCCAAAAGACTGAAAAAGCCTTATATCAGCTGGACATTTCTATCGACATGCAATATATCACCTGCTGCCTCTTATGTGCAAGAATATAATCCGGTCAAGTCATGTTTTCAACTCTGCGGACACCTCGTCGATATTCAGCACTGGCTTGATCGATTAGGTCCTATCAAACTTTCGCTCCTCGTCATGGATAAGCACACCAAACAGACGGCCGGCACGTCCTCGATCTCACTCAAGGATCTCGCATTTAAGGAGCGACCGTTTGACGATCGAACATGCTCTATCTATAATGCTCAAGACGAATCTGTGGCTGAGGTGACTGTACGGGTGGGGTTGATCAGTGGATGGCACCAGGACGATAGTAGCTTATTTGAAGACGGTAAACGAGATCCATGGGATATGATCATGATGAGCTCACAACAAAAGAAAATGCGTTATTCCACCCCATCGTCCATACCGACACTGACAACAACCTCTATATCAACAAAGAGTACACAACCGACCATTCATTATGTCACACCTTATATACGTTCATCCTCCTCTTCGATCATGTCATATTTTAATACAAATAATGCCATTAATAACAATAAAAGGAGAAACAAATGACCCTAAGAAGGATGGGATAAAATGCTTTCTGCTCGATTCACAATGTCTTGTAATACTGAGGTTAGACTAGATAACGTCTTATGCTGTTCATGCGGCACGCGTCTTCGGATGCGCTCTAGTCGTGTCATCGCATTGTCAAATTCGGCAAGATCCTCATAGGCATTCCTCGTGTGGGTCGTTCTATAATCAAAGATGGGATCAAATCGTTTTTGGTTGATCCTCGTGCCTGAAGATAAGGAGGGTAGAGTTCGATTAAACGGAGGTGGTGTTCGTGGCGGTGGAGGTAGACGTACATGCTGAGATGGTATAGAGGATGATGATGGAGGAGGTGGTGGCGGTAATGGCGTACGTTTAGGCTTGATATAGTCCTCAATGGCAGGTACGTTAGAAGATGCTGACGATGCTGTTGATGATGATATAGAACGCTTCATACTGGACTTGATTACCTTTTTCTTTTTTAATTTCTGTTCTTCTTCTTCTTCCTCTTCACTTGACTCCGTTTCTTCCTCTTCTTCTTCGTCTTGATCTGATACAATGATCCGTTTCCTTCGTTTGATCACACTTCTTTTCATACTCACTGGTCGATGCACATGATGGAGTTTATAATATAGCCCACATGCATTACAAATTGTATTGCCCGATTCATCTCTGCGCCAAAGAGGTGTTGTTGTCGTTCGGCAATTAGCACATATGAGAGCATGACGAGCAACCTGATGTTGATTAAAGGCAGGGCAGCCCTCACAGGAAGCTGATCCACCCGTGCCATTGCATTGACCATTACCTGGACAAGTTCCTGGTAACGGTGTTGCTGTTATTGTTGTTGTTGAAATAGTTTGTTTTCTAGATTGACGCTTCATCGTCACTGGTCGAAGGGTATGTCTGGCCTTGAGATAGAGACCACAGGCATTACAAATAGTTTCGCCATTAGGAGCTCTTCTCCACAATGGGGTTGTTGTCGTACCACAATTGGAACAAACGGTGGCAGATACCTGACTCTTTTTACTCTTTGATTCACTGGCCATTAATATTAAAAAGAGAGAGAGAAAAGAAGGCAAAAAAATTGTGATGATTTTTGATTGTATAATTTGTATTATAAATGATATCAATTTTTCTAAAGTGTGTGACAACGATTTTTTTCAACTAATGCATTTAAATTACATATTGCAAGTATGACAAGATAGACATACAACAAAGCAATAGAGAAAGAAGAGATATTTAATAATACTTTAGTTGGTCATCCATTTTTTTCTTTATTATTTAAAAAAGACAACATTTGATGTATATAAAAAGAGGGAGAGTTGTGGTCAACATTTGAAGCTGGATAAAGTGCCCTCCCCGACTCCTAAATTTGGTTTATGACGTTGAAGGCAGATACACTTGGAGTGACATGATTTGTGGGATTTGAATTCATTTATATTTTACTGCTTTGGCTTTGTTTCTTTTTTTTTTTCTTATGTCTTTTCTCAAAAAGCTATTCTTTCTGCTGCTTGCTGCCAATGCAGTTATTATTGGCTATGACCAATATAACGGAGGACACGCGACACAGAACATTATTCAAAAATTGAATCAAGACAACTTTTATTATGTCTTGGACCAACTTAAATCACCCGAAAAGATCACTCCATACGTCAACAACGCGCTTACTCATCTTAAGGATATTAGCTCACCCCAAAAGATCACTTCACACATCAACAATGCATTTGCTCAACTCAAGGATATTAACTCATTCGAAGACGTCATTCAACTTGTTCGTGGTACTGCGCCTTCCAAGGCTGCTCTGACCTATGATGGTAACGTACTCGTGTTGACAGACGATAACTTCAAATTGGCCATTGACGGTTCTCGTCCTGCCTTGGTTGAATTCTATGCTCCCTGGTGCGGTCACTGTAAGAACTTGGCTCCTGTCTATGCTCAATTAGGTGATGCCTTTGCTCATCAAAAGGATAAGGTCATCATTGCCAAATTCGATGCTGACCAACACCGCAACACGGGTGCTCTCTATGAGGTCAAGGGTTTCCCTACTCTCAAATGGTTTCCTCAAGGCGTGAACTCTCCTGAGGGTGTAGAAGATTACCGTGGTGGCCGTGACTTGAACTCGCTTGCTTCCTTTGTTCGCGAAAAATCAGGCATTATTCCTCGTATTAAGGCAAAGAAGTCAGACGTGGTCGAGCTCAACTCCAAGAATTTCCATGAGGTTGCCTTGAATCCCAAGCAAAATGTGTTGGTTGAATTCTATGCTTCTTGGTGTGGACACTGCAAGAACTTGGGTAAGTTTTTTTTTATATACACACACAGGATGTGTCAAGATATATATATCTATGTATATTAATAATCATATAGCACCTATCTGGGAAAAGATCGGTACTGCCTATTCTAATGTTGAAAACGTACGTCTCGTTGTATCTTTATATATCATAATCTAACTTTATGTGTAGTGTGTTGTAGCCAAGATTGATGCTGATAAGGAACGTGATATCGGCACTGAGTTTGACATTTCTGGCTTCCCTACCATCAAGTTATTCCCTGCAGGTGAAAGTGAGCCTATTCCTTATGAAGGCGCTCGTACCGAAGCTGCTTTTATTGAATTCTTAAACAAGCACTGCAAGGCTCACCGCGCCGTTGGTGGTGGATTACAGCCCACTGCGGGTCGTATTCGTGACTTGGATGAAAAGGCTATCGAGTTTATCAAGAACCCCGCTGCTCGTGAAAAGATTCATAAAGAGATCGCAGATAAGGTCAAGGAGCATGCATCACGGTAAGTCTACGGCTATAAATATATACAAATATTTTTTTTATTAATATGATTTCTATAGTCATGCCAGATACTATGCTAAAGTAATGGAAAAAATCCTTGCTCATGGTGAAGACTTTTTACACAAAGAAAGAACGCGTTTAGCTAATATTGCTAAATCTGAAGACGTGACCAACGCCAAGTTGGATGATTTTAATATTCGTAAGAATATTTTGGCTTCTTTTGATAAGGATGCCACTCCTGTTGAACACGAATAAACAATAAAGTGCCACATAAATTAACTCATTATAAATGATTATACCGGTTGTCCGTTTTGTTTATTATTGATGTATACTTTATCCATAGTTCAAACGGAAGATGTCGTTGAGCACATAGTAAGCGTTGTTCTCAGAAATCAACTGGAAAGTTTGGAAGAACATTAAGGGATTGGGGCTATCATCAACCTAGATAGTACGTATACATCAGCATTCTTTTCCCTTTTTTTCTCTCCCTCTCTCTATATATATACTTACGACCAACATGCCACTGACGGTAACGATTAAAGAGTTATTGGGGCCAGAGGGTTGAACGTCGATAGTGGTAACCTTGTGTTGAACACGTTGGAAAGGAAGAGTCTATATCAAGACAAAAGATCAGTTAAAAAAAAGGGAAGAAAGAAAAATACTATTATATCAACTTACAGTCAACTTTTCGGTAATAGCAGCAGCACCTTGAACTGGGGTACCTTCAAAGGTAAGCATAGAATTGTCTCTCTTTTATAAAAAAAGATGTGTGTCAATATGATATATACGCGTATACGTATTTTATTTTTTTAAACTTACATAAAGACCTTGCAAGTTACTTCTGTTACTATCAAAAGTGTCGTAATAGAAATTAACAAACTGCGTAGCAAGTGTGTTAATGTCTGCCATCTTTAAAGAATCAAAGAAAGGAGTAGAGAAAAAAAAAGTTTTCAATACGTAAACTGAACCTGAAAAAGAAAAAAAAAATTGCTTGGGATGTAGCCTATGACGCAAACGGATGCATTTGATTGGTTACAGGAAAGAATATACAAATATATATTCATATACACACACACACAAATAGAAAGAAAAAAGAGAGGAAGAAAGAGAAGATTCTTTAGTCATGTGACTAATTTTGCTTATTGAACCTATTAAACAGCTTTTTAGTAAGGGGAGCCATTGTAACTCTGATCGTCTGAATGAAAAAGATTTGATATTTTACAAGTATGTTTTTGTGTTTAATTTCATTACATGAATGATACCCCTTTTTCCGTGTTCTCATGGAGAATATCAGCTCTTTTTAATTATAAATCATGAAACTGGTCAACAAGAGATCCGGTGAAATTATTTACTCCAACTATCCAATTAATTTACTTTGCTGACCTTTTTTATTTCCTTTTGAGTAAAATGTCCTTGTGACGATCGGAAAAAGTGTTGCCCTGCTAAAGTATGTCCATGTAGGTATGAGATCAGCAAGAGCAGTAAAGATATGTAGGCGGAGTAAATAGTGACGAATGATGAACAGAAGCAATTAAAAAAAAAGGAGACCAATAAATAAATAAACAAAATAAAGACTGATTACACACTTTTTAATCTCCATCAACTGGTTCCTGGAGTGGAGTTGAACTGGCAATGAAAAATAGTAATAAAGAACCGTTTTATTCATAAATAAATATTCTAATAAAGAGAAAAAGAGAGATAAAGGGAATGTCTATTTTATGTACAGAATGAAAAAAAAAGTGAGGATGCTATATTTATGAAATTATGACATTGTAGGGCTATGGTGCATCATGACTAATAAGTGCGCAGCATCCTCGTCATCAGAAGAAAGTGTTGCCGATAATTTTCTTTTCTCATATGGCCGCAGTCTTGTATCTGATATGGGCACATGGCTAGGTGATCGAGGCGCGTGGTGTTTGATGGTACGATCATGACTGTAAAGTGGTGGTGAAGTAGGATAGAATCGATGGTGTGATAACAGACGCTTTCGTTTCTTATCGTGAATATTTAATTTTGTTAAGGGATTGGAAGGTCTTGTTGGTACGCGTTCGAATAGACTAGATTCTAGTGTATGTAAATCCACATTTTCATAACCATGTTCACGTTTGAAATTTGCCAGTGTCAAACGTGCTTTTAACCTATGAGCTAACTAAAGACACTTTAGTTGTCAAGTATACATTGTTTATATAATAATGACTTACACTCGACATATCGTATTGCTGAACAGACATCTTAAAAATTATATAAAAAAAAAAAAAACGAAAAAGAAAGAGTGGTGTTTAAATAAATATAAAAAAAAGAAACAAATAAGGATTGACGTTCACTCTATTTTTGGGCTTGTCGGCATTAACCACGCCACTCTCCCATGTCCGTGTTTTCCATAGGAACCAATCAAAGTCATCAACTTCATCCCTATTCTAGTCAGCTCCCTTCTCCCTCTTTTGTTTCTCTAATATGCATTATTACACACTTTCTCTTTATTGATTGGTCAAACAAAAAGACACAGCTGGAACAGAAAATTTATTTCTTAATAAAAATGAGTCAAGTGAATAGAACACAGTCCATAAGTAAACAAGCTGATTAGATCAAAAAAATACAAAAATAGCTCTCTACATATTATCGACCTACACTTTTCACCAGAAACAGCCCGAGGTTCATTCAGCATCAGAAAAAACTCAAGATGCATGTTGTTGGTGTAATTGTTCATCATTGTTCTATACATTTATAGTCTGACCGCATTTTTACTTGAGTTTTGGTATAAAAGAGTGTTGTAAATAGTGTAACATACGCGTATATGGTCCGTGCTGTTAATAGATAAAGAAAGGAGATGAATTTATAAAAGGAGAAAGTCAAAGAGAGGAGAGAGAGACACTTGAATAAATTCCCGGTGAGATATTCACTTTTTCTTTTTCTTTTTTTCTTTTTAATCAAGATGAAAGATCAATCGAATGAATTAAAACAGAATTTGACATTAGATATAATCAATGATGACTCTTATTGTATTTTTAAATCCTTAAATTATCCTCACATCAAACCACTCTTTCATGACGAATTAATCAAAAATACAACAACTACTACTAATAGCACCTCACCGCCCACACATTTGACTACGGCCGCTGCCTTTTTATCTAACCTCATAGTGTCATCGAGTGGCGAGAAGAACAATAGGATTCATGATTACACTCTTGGCCCCGTTATAGGTTACGGAGGATTTTCTGTAGTACACAAGGCCTGTCATTACCTCATGCCACATCAGATTAAAGCAGTTAAAGTGGTCACAAAGACGTGTATGTCAGAAACAGATATTATCAGATTCAACCGCGAACTCACCATTTGGAAATCTCTTTGTCATCCGCGTGTGGTCAATCTGTTGAAAGTCATCAAGAAGAAACAAAGCTATTGTCTCATATGCGATTACTGTCCAGGTGGTACACTGCTTCAATTCCTAAACAAGCATAAGCTTCTCGAACAAGACGCCAAAAGAATATTTAAAGAGCTCTGTCAAGCTGTTCACTACTTGCATATTGACCGAAAAGTATGCCATAAGGACCTGAAGCTGGAAAATGTACTGATCGACGAAAACGGGCACATCAAACTATGCGACTTTGGTCTCGCTCTTTATCTCTCTCATAAACCTTGTTCAAAAAGATTCAAACAGCAAGAAACCGCAGGCGGTTCTCTGGCTTACATTGCACCAGAGCAACTCACCGCCTCTGTTTCACTTGCCTGTCCAAAGACAGATATCTGGTCACTCGGAGTCATCCTGTACGCTCTAGTCGTCGGTCAATTGCCCTTCATGGACACTTTTGATCTCAGACTTGTTCAAAAGATCCAGCAAGGTGCATTTGAAATGCCAGACGATCTATCAGAGCCACTGCAGCGCTTGATCCGAGCTTGCTTGAATAAGGATCCAGACGAGAGGCCAAGCATAGACCAGATCCTCAAATCGTCTTGGCTAATGTAATACACAATAAAGGACCCCATTGGCTTTTGTCAATTTTCCGAAACGTTTTTGCTGATTTTGATTGGACGAGTCTTTCTCATCACGCTCACTCACTCACCCACTCGCCCTCTCAACCCTCGCGCAACCCGGGGTGTGCGGGCTACGACTTTGCATATTCTCATTCTCCCTCTCTCCTCTCTCTCTCTCCTTTCCACAACATAGTTAGACATGGGATCCGATCGGTAAGTTCACAAACGCATCCATCCTTCCCATCCATCCATCTATCAGTTTCATCAAATGATATACAACTAAAAAATATCAACCTTTTGAATCAACATACAACCACAAAAGAAAACAATCTGAAATGTGTGAGCTATAGATCATGGAATCGGACGGATGGATCATGATGCCTTTTTTTTCTTTTGGGAAAACTAAACTTATAATAGTCTTTACTGCAAGGGCCGTGTTTTGGGTTACGAACGTGCCAAGCGCAACCAAAACCCCAACGTTTCTTTGATTCAAGTTGAAGGTGTTCAAACAACCAAGGATGCTCAATTCTACCTCGGTAAGCGTATTGCCTACGTCTACCGTGCTCAACGTGAAGTCAATGGCTCCAAGATCCGTGTCATCTGGGGTCGCATCGCTCGTACTCACGGTACCAATGGTGTCGTCAAGGCTCGTTTCCGCAAGAACTTGCCTCCCAAGGTCTTTGGTGCCTCCGTTCGTGTCGTAAGTGTATTGTTATTATGTTTCTTTCTTGTTTATTCATATATATTTTTTATAGATGCTTTATCCTTCCAACATCTAATTGTGGAGTTTATATGTTATGAGGACGATCCATATATTGTATATGTATTCCTGAAATAAATCATCTTTTTTAAAAGAATCTATTTTTTTTTTTTGTTTGTTTGTAAAGACACACTGTGAAAAGGAGAAAGGGGACACTGAAAAAAAAAAAGAGTAAAAGGGATATGAACAAGTGTGAGAAAAAAATAGGCCAGTAGGATTTAGTCGGTCTCCAGGACTTAATCAATCCGATGTCATTGTTCTGTCCCTGCTGCATGATGAAGTAAATTTAGCATTTTTATATTTTAAAAAATAGCCAATTATGCATATCAAGGATAAAATAAGGTAAATGCTCCTATCATAGGAACTTTTGTCATAAAAGGAGAGAGAGGAAGCATAACGTTATTCTGCATCCAAGCAACAACAAAAAAAAATGGGCAAGGAGGCATTCGGTATTCAGCATTTAAGAAAAAAATTGGCAGTCGTGGGAAACTTGTTGGTTTTATCTCTGTCCATGTTTTACATATAAATATGTTTGCCTAAATTCTGTTCTTTCTTACTTTTTTACAACATACTTGCATTATATCATGGCTCCTTCAGTTAACAACACCAATACTACTCAAACTGTTAACCCCTATTCTGGTTTTGACCATCTTCGATTCACAGTAACCAACGCTAAACAGGCCGCTTCTTATTACTGCACTCGTCTTGGTTTCAAGCATATCGCATACCGTGGTCTCGAAACCGGTTCAAGAGACGTTGCCTCTCATGTTGTCAAGCAAGGTGATGCCGTCTTTGTCTTTGAGAGCCCTATTCAACCCGAGACTATGAAGGATATGGCCATGGAAATTGCTCGTCGTGGTGATGCTGTCAAGGATATTGCTTTTACTGTCAAGGACTGTAAGGCTGTCTACGAAAAGGCTATTGCCCGTGGTGCCAAGTGCATCAAGCCTCCTCAAGAATACTCTGACGAACATGGTACTGTCATCATGGCTACTTTGGCTACTGTAAGTAATTCTTTTTTTTTTTGAGGAACAATTATTAATCCTTTTCATGGGTAGTATGGTGATGTCCATCACACTCTTATTGAACGTCACAATTATAAGGGTATCTTCTTACCTGGTTACAAGGATATCTTTGAAGCTTTGAAGTATAAGGATCCTCTCGAAGAAACTTTGTAAGTTTTAATAATAATTATTTTGTCTTAATTTAGACTAACCTCTTCTCTCCTTTATAGACCCCCAGTTCCTCTCAAGTTTATTGACCACGTCGTAGGTAACCAACCTGATGGTCAAATGAACCCTATTGCCGATTTCTACGAAAAGGCCTTCGATTTCCATCGCTTCTGGTCTGTTGATGACAAGCAAGTTTTTACTGAATACAGTGCTCTTCGTTCTGTCGTCATGGCTGATCCCGAAGAGCGTATCAAGGTGCCAATCAACGAACCTGCTGTCGGTCGCAAGAAGTCTCAAATCCAGGAATTCGTCGACTTTTACGGAGGCGCTGGTGTCCAACATATTGCGATCAATACAAACGATATCATTACGGCTGTAAGCAACATGAAGTCAAGAGGTTGTGATTTCTTGACTATTCCCAGCAACTATTATGACACCTTGCGTGCTAATCTCACAGTACACAACAAGACATCCAAGAACCCCGTTACAGAAGACTTGGATATTCTTCAGAAACTCAACATCCTTGTTGATTATGATGAAAATGGCTACCTCTTACAAATTTTCACCAAGCCTCTCGAAGATCGTCCCACTTTGTTTGTTGAAATCATTCAACGTAACAACCACAACGGATTCGGTGCTGGTAACTTTAAGAGCTTGTTTGAGAGTTTGGAAATTGAGCAACAATTGCGTGGTAATTTGACCGATATGGAACCTGTCAAGGAAACCGCCTAATCTTTTTTCATTGTATCATTCTTTTTTGTCAATATTCTCCATGTATACATACTTATAATAAAAGAAACCCCTATTTTACATATAGAAATACATGTATTATGTAGTATAATGAACTTTATTTTGTAATGCTCTGGTATCAACATATTCAAGATCCACAATTCTATGAAAAAAAAGAGTGAGTATGTAGTAAGCTTTTATATATCATCAATAATACCCTGTTAGTAACACCTTGAACTTGTTTAAATGCTCTGCCATCTGATTGACTTGTTCTTGTGGTACAGGTAATGTCGTTATTTCTACAATCCACATATCCTCTTGACCAAAGGGTACTGCTGATGTCACATCCAATTTGGTTTTTAACTAGAGTCCAAGTGAGTTTATATTACATGACCTTATTTTTCTTGCTTACTTTGTATAGTCTTGTCAAGGTTATCTTTAATACATTATCATACGCAACCAAGTATCCTTTTCTGACGATTTCAAACGAATAACTTTATAATTGTTATTATCATACTATTCACACATGCATTTTGTCACTATTTACCTGTAACCAAGAGCCTTCATAAACCTAAACATATCACCAGAGAGTTGAACACGTGCGATTGGTCTTACTGTGACTGTTCGAGCACGCTGTGGTTCTGGATTACCTTGCATGCAAAGATGCCATTGTCTAAAACGAAAACTCACATCTTTTTCTGTTGAAATTCTCGATTGAACTCGCAGTACAACGTCGTCATTACGTGCTGGTCCTACTGGTGTCTGCACTAAAAGGAGGCAAGGTTAATTCAGAGTTTGGTTTATTGATTTATTAATTACCAGAAGGTGTAAATATGATCTCATGTTCAAATAAATCAACTATTGAACTATTTCCACATATTCCTTCCAGTCGTTCAATGAGCTTATCTTTTTGTTGGTGTCCAATGATAAGTCCTTGTAAGCTGCATTCATAATTAGACATGTGGGAAATAAAGGAAGAAAAGAAAAGAGAGAAAAGTCACGCCAATAGTGCAAACATAAACTCACTCCTTTTCTTGTTAAATATAATCTATGTCCTTGATTTTCTAAAAAGAGACATGTATAATCTATAAGAAAACACGCATATATGTCCATTGTAGGATTCATTCATACCAATAAAAGGACTTTATACATGAAAAATATACAAACGATGCGCTTTGAAATATATTATTGTTATTGTTTCAATAATATTAAAAGCAATGGAGCAAAATATATTCGAAGGGTGTATGCTGCCTTCTTTTTTTTTTTTTCTCCAGACTTGGCTTGTATTGACGCTGATGTTACTATTGAAGAGAAGAACCCTTTCAACTGTGACGATTATTCAAAGTTCTAAGCAAGTTTTTTTGATGAGGAGTTGATATATCCTTTACTAGTCGAAGATGCTACGTTTCAACGTTAACAAAAATGTTTAGTTACAGTTTTCGCACTTTTAAATTCAGACATAGTTAATACAACTTACACTGTAAGGACGTATGAGAGAGT